GACCTTTAAGATGTGTAATGCCAACAACTACACTGTAGCTTTTTGCAGATGACAAAACTCACTCCATGAGTTTGGCTGCATATGAGACATCTCCACTGGAGTGAGCACATTAGTCCTCTCACTTCAGAGTGTCCCAAGAGACAGCATGAACTCGAGACGTTTCTGAGCTAATCAGTGGACGGTTTAAGGGACAATGCTTTGTCACTCTGTTCGACTGACATGCCTCGATCAAGGCAAAGTGCAACATAACATTACAGTGAGGCAACAGGAAACATAACACATTCCTGTATGTAATCCATTATTAGAGGACACATTCGACTACAATGGCCAAATTATGAAATGTCTAACAAGCTAATAAGTTAGTACTGCAAATAGTACTGCTCGAAGTGTAATTTAGCCGCTCTGTCTGCTCCTACCTTACAGTCGAGTTGAGTGATATTTTGCAAAACAATCTGCAGTATTTGTTTTAAAAGCCAGTTTGGTGATGTGTGTGCGTGAGATACAAAACATGGAAGTATTTAAATGCAGATCTGACTGAGCTTTAAACGGACACAGGAATCCTGAAGTCAAATGTAAAACCTTTTAAGACCTTTTTAAGACCCTTTCCATACATTTGAAGACCTCATCGCCACTTGGAGTTTTAACCGGTTACCTTGGCGACACACTTTACCTCACATTGACTATATACAGTATTGATTGTCCTTCCTCCTTATCTTCCAACCATTTGGACGCAAACTTGCATTTCCCCATAACGATGTTGTTTAGCAACCGGCGTAAACGGACCTTCGCGCGCTATCAAGCAGTGAGCGTGCGCTGTCCTGTTCAGATGACGTCAAATCCAACGGGATGCCATAAATAAACTACACAGAATCACACTACACACCTACACAATGATTACATTCAGGCAGACTGTAGAATACAACCTCTTTGGACAATTCATATACTTATTGAAAACAAGCTACAAAATGTAATACCTTGGAAAATGCCGTTTAATACTTTTTAATAGCCTTCATTTCCGCTAAATTGATTGATCAACTTTTAATACTTTTTAAGATCCCGCGGACACCCTGGGACACCAACTGAACAGTCATATTCAGTAAGGCAGGAGTAACATATCGACTCATATTAGCTTATCTCTGAAACATCAGTATTGACCGATAAGCATCAAAAACATGCAGTAGAGAAACCCCAAAAATATGCGAGCAGTAGTTTAAAAATATTTCTCAAACTTATGATTACTTTTATAATCAAATGGTTTTCAAATGGCAATAGCAACACATTTCCATCACTATTTCCTAATTTGTACAACCAACACAACAAAGTTCAATTTAGAATGATGTAAAACAGGGAAAAGCAGCACATTTAAATGAACGGTCGCCATTTTGCTCTAAAATCTATCTATGCTGTGTTTAGTGGTTTGAATGTAGGTCACCCTGGCTCTCATGCTTCCTGTTATCATGTGGCATTGTATGCTAAGTGTTTGGCCTGGTATTTAATTCTATTGTCAACAGAGTTTAGTTAAAACTAACTAAGAGCAGACTGCAGATGAAAACCAGTCATGCTAGAATGTCCTGCCATCTTTGCATTGCACTGGATATTTCAGGACGTGATAAAAATACCCCTGGGACCAGCTGCTGGTGAGATATTACAAGCTGTTAATTTCAACAGCAATACACTGAAATAGGGATGTGTAAAGAGGATTATACAAACTCTAATCTTGTAATGTCTGAGCTGGATGAACTTTGGTATTCGAGCATGAGAAGGGCAATAAAATGAGCCAGCTAACAGTGCCAGAGGATATGAAAAACCACACTGAAAAGCAGAGGCGGGAGAACTACTAAGATCTTGTACTTGAGTAAAAGTAGAAGTACCAGAGTGTAGGAATACTCTGTTACAGTAAAAGTCCTGCATTCAAAATGTTGCTCAAGTAAAAGTATAAAAGTATTATCATCAAAATATACTTAAAGTACCAAAAGTACAAGTAGTCAATTGTGCAGATTGGTCCATTTCAGAATAATATAACATATGTTTTTATAATGATTGATCATGAAAGTGTTCTCAAAGCTGGTAAAGGTGCAGCTAGTTTTAATGACTTTGTATACTGCAGGGTAGCTTGTGGATTTACTCCAGGTGGAACTAAAGTCTGATTTAAGAGTTGATTACATTTCACATCATTCATCCAAATCTGTGAAGTAACTAAAGCTTCAAGAGAAATGTAGTGGAGTAAAAGTACACTATGTACCTCTGTATAGAAGTGGGGTAGAAGAACAAAGTAGCATAACATGGAAATACTCAAGTAAAGTATCTCAAAATTGTACAGTACTTGAGTAAATGTACCACCTCTGACAATGAGCCAGCTAACAGTGCCACAGGATATGAAAATCACACTGAAAAGTACCAAACAGTGTGGCCAAAACCGGTTTCAGTTTTAATGGCAAATCAATAAAGTGGCAAAACATTAGCTCAACTAGCTTGGTTGTTTGCTCAACATGGAGAGTAACTAGCTAGTTATGGAGGGGGACGTGGAGCCCCTAAGCAAGTTCGGTATTTACTTTCTTTGGAAGTACAAACAAAAAAACTGACTGGTTGAGTTTGGCTTTCTTTTTGAGACTTTAACTTACCCACGGCGATATACTCTCTTTTCACTCCCGTTTTTTCTTCCAACGTCGCCAACTGGTCTGTCACAAAGTTCTTCTCATGGAGCAGAGTCACGAAGCGCTCCTTAAACTGACTCATTTTCGGGCTTTTTCCTGACACAAACAGCACAGACACACAGCAAATGTTATACGAGTCGATGGTTGATTTGTGATTGAAAACGAGGGGTTATTTTACCAACCTTGAGTGGGTGAATTGCCCGAAAACTTGCCGCTGGATGGCTGGCTGCTGACTCTGCTGAGTTGCGGTGGCAGAGGGGGAGGAGTCTGACTGACGCCCGCTGACCCAATCACAGAGCTCTGATGAGTTTGACTGCAGCAGGTGATTAAACAACGGTTTACTGTGTGCTAGAAACGGGCTCACAATGTATGACCAATAATTAAAACATTGTGGTAGCAATGTTAAAAACATTATTAATGAATATTTAATCTGATATGTGAAACTAAATGTTTCCTTTATTTATTGTATGTTTTATTTGTAATACTTTATATGTCTACCCCTGATTTCAACTTGTTTGTATTAATAAAACATGATGTTCACTTATGTTCTTGAATAAATAAAGGAAAAAAGGAAAAGGTTTGCTGAGACTAGAGGCCCATTTCTGCCATATAGAGAGGGAAAAGACACATCCTGTAAGTCAGTATACTAAGTAACTTTCTCCCATTTCTGATTTGGCCTCCCTATTATGGATGCCCATACCTATTTCTGCCACAGAGAGGAAAATAAGAGGATGCAGTAGGAGAAACTACTTAAAATACTGATTTGGCACTTCAAAATAATGAGAAATGTTGTCAATATTTGACTTAGTTATTCATTATTTTTGAATGGAAGACTATTTCCGTCACTGAGACAAAAACAAAAGAGGATCTTTAAGTCATTTTATAAGTAACTATTTCCAAATAATGACTTAGTATCTAAAAAATAATGACATACTAAGTCAAAATAGTATCAGAAATATTAGTATTAAGTCAAAATAATCTTAATCATAGTTTATCTGTCAAACGGGAATCCAAGAGGACCCTGTTACAGCAATTGTTTAAAATACTATTTGGTACATTTCATGGGATTTTATGGGAAGAAGTACCGTATAAACTTAAAGTACACAAGCCAATTTATCATGGATTTTAATAAGAGATCTAATACCATGTGCATCATTTTAAATGTGCAGCTGTAAAGGTGGAGCTAACTATAATTACTTGTTATACTGAAGTGTAATAGCACATCAATATTCATTTGTGAATTTATATGATAAAAGTGTAGTTTGTCAGGTTTTCTTACAAATTGGGCAACCGTAGGGGACACTTAATTTGATCTGCACCAGGAACATCCAAGAGACGTTTAGTTTGAACATGATTTGACCCCTGACCTCCCCTGAGTACACAGGTGTCAAAGCAGAGGCATTAGGACCAGAGATGGCAAAAGTACACACATCCTTTACTCAAGTAGAAGTACAGGCCTACTCGTGTTAAAAAATACTCTGGCAAAAGTAGAAGTACTAAGTAAACTTCTTTACTCAAGTAAAGCAAAGAAGTATGGGCTTTGAAATGTACTAGTAAAAAGTACCCATAACTAGCAGAGTAACTGACCTCCCTTTATATTAATAGAACAATAATGTCATTGTTAGCTAATGAATGTTTCCATGCTGAACAACGGCAACATGACAACGTTTTCATTGGTCCCTCTTCTTTAGAGAAGACCAGGAAATGATGGATACACGGATCGTGTTCAAATCAATAGGCACGCAATGACTCTAAATAATAATGATCACGCCACCAAACACACATTCAAACTAAAGGAACCAGCCTGTTTGGAAATGTAAGAAGTAGAAAGTAGGCTACAGGTATTTGTGTTAAAAATGTAAGAAGTAAAAGTAAAAAGTCGTCAGAAAAATAAGTAGTGGAGTAAAGTACTGATACCAGAAAAATGTACTTAAGTAAAGTAACGAAGTATTTGTACTCCACTACTTCCCACCTCTGATTAGGACTAACAGAGTGACGTACATGATCATGAAAAGAGCTAAGGGACATGTGCAGATTCATTTCATGTCAATATGAAGTTGTTCGTAACCTGGATAGCCAGCAGAGGGCAGCCTTCATCTATTAACAGAACAAATGTCCGTCGGAAACTTTGCATGGACAGAAACAGCAGAGAGTTGAGGAACAGAAAGTTACCTGTTCTTCATAAGTCCACAGGGAGATGTAGCCTCTACGTACTCCACCTCCTCTCTCTCTCTGTTTCACAAGGACAGGTGTCTGTTTGCGTTTCTTAAATGTTATTTTGCATGATTTTAATGCTTCACTGCTCCTCACAGTTTTCATGAAATCTCTGTGTATGTTAATGTCGGACAAACAGACATATCATACCAACCACAGTGGACACAAACTCAAATCCTCATCTCCACTCCTGATATAAATATGTTCTTCCATTCAGATGATAGACGGTGTAAATCCAGACAGCTTTCCTCCTGGTTTCGTGTCCCACGTTGCCTTCAGTGTGCTGAGAGCAGAGAAATCATTTCCATAGAGAGGAGGCTTTGCATGGTCAGCTGATCCTCCAGTGAGAAGGTTTATAGTCCTGTGAGTTCAACACTGCAGGACTCACATCTGTCAGTCAGCAGAAAGCACCATGACTCTCATCACCATCCTCATCTGGACGCTGGCCTGCTGCTGTTTCACAGGTTCATTCACTCAGCAACATTTCAAACATCATGTGCTGCCTTTCCTCTCCTTTCTTTCTGCTGAGAAATCAATGATCTGTTTTTGTGTGCAGGATGCAGCGGTCAGGTGACTGTGACTCAGCCTGCAGTCCAGACGTCTGCTCCAGGATCCACCGTCACTCTCACCTGTAAAACAAGCAGAAATGTTGCATTTCCGGGGTCTAGTGAATATATGTTCTGGTATCAACAGAAATCTGGACAGCCTCCAAAGCTCCTGATTAAATATGTGAGCACACGTGAATCAGGAACAGAACCTCGGTTTAGTGGCAGTGGAGGCGGCTCTGACTTCTATATGACCATCACTGGACTGAAGGCTGAAGATGCAGCAGTTTATTACTGTCAGAGTCGCCACATCATAAACAGTGTTAATCTGTTCACACAGTGATTTGTCGTGGTACAAAAACCTCCCTCAGTCAGACTGCAGAGACTCTGAGCTGTTACAGCAGGAACCACCTGCAGCTGCTGAAGAGGAAGAGACTGACACAGCCCACTGAACTCAGAGCTGACAGGAACCCACCCAGCACTATTCACTTCATATTCTTAAATATACATAATCTTACTACTCATTGAGATTAAACTAGTTAAAAAAACACATTTGATGTAAAACCAGCATTACACACAAACCATATTATGATCTCTGCTTCTCTCTCCAAAGTATTATTTTTACTATTTACATTTTGGAGCAAGGCAGCTTTAGTTGTTCTCAGCTGTTGGTGCTCCATTATCTCCCTGACCTCAGATCAGAGTGATATGATCTCTGTCTCCATCAGTGTTGCAATTCCTAATTCAGAAGATCATGTTTTTGTATCTTCTTTCTTTATTTTGAAACCACCTACCCCACACCAATCTCAGCCCACTGAACTCAGAGCTGACAGGAACCCACCCAGCACTATTCACTTCTTATTCTTAAATATACATATGTTAATGGATTAATGAGATTAAACCCAGTCCAAAACACATTATATGTAAAAGCAGCATTATACACAAACCTTATTGTGATCTCTGCTTCCCCGAATTAAAACAACAAACGCTCTTTATCTTTTCCCCACATGTCTCCACTCGGTGTGCTTCACAGCAGGAGCATCTCTGGCCTCTCTGGAGTTATTATTTCATCATTATTATAAAGATCCTGGTTAAAAATGACAAAGATCAATCTAATGAAGTCTTTAAAATGTTAAACGGTGGCTGATTAAAACCCTCTTATTCACATCAATCAATGAACTTATCCATCAGTTAACCTCAAATTCACATCTTAGTTAAAAACTTCAGGTTTTCTAAAACAGCAGGAACATCCAAGAGACGTTTAGTTTGAACATGATTTGACCCCTGACCCCCCCCGAGACCACCAGTGCAAAGCAGAGGCTTTAGGAATAGCAGACGTACATCAGGATCAGAATCAAGTTTATTACCAGATACTTTGACACATACAAGGAATTTGCTTTGGTGTCTGGTGGTACGAACACAAACAATCTAAACAACACTTAGGACAAATAATATATCACAATATATGTTCATATGGTGATTGTCAGTATTGAGTATGTAAGTCGCTTTGGATAAAAGCATCTAACAAGTAACATGCAATGTAATGTAATGTAATATGGCAAACTACAGTGAATTATATTTAAAGTGGAGGGCTGTGCAGGCATGTGTGCAAACATGTGTAAAATGCAGTCAGAGTTGAGCATGAACATGGCTCTCAGAATTAAGAAAGGAAAAAGAACAAGATGTTGTTCACATGATGTGCAATAATGTAACTCTGTGTGACTGGCGAAGCCACACACAGTCTACTATTCAACATACTTATTAGTGCGAATGCTGTTCAACTATTGTTCTTCAAATCTTTATTCTTCCACACCTTATTATTGTGCTTTCTTCCTGTAGTTCCTGCCTGTGTACATGACATAAGCTGCTCACAACCAATTGCCCCTTGGGGGATCAATACAGTTGTTGATTGATTGATTATTTCAACCAGATTTCGTCATCTAACTACTTCAGCATACTTTCAGCTACAGAGACCATTCACATATTAAAATGTCCAGCTCCTTCAGGACATGTGTGCTATGACTTTTCATGTTTTTGACATTTATACTTTTTAAAATATACCGCTTTTTAAACTTTTATTTTTACAATGTAACCCAATGGGAGTATCCTTCAAATCCTCGTTTACCTACACCGTGTTTAAAATGCTGCTCCTTCAGAATACTTTCAGCTACAGACTTCATTCCAACTTTGAAACGGTCACAAAACATTCAGCTATTACATTTGTATTCAGCTTTTTGATATCTTTTAGAGTTTCTCAATCATCAACGTTTTGGTAAAAAACGTCCTTAACTCGGAGTTCTGTTGCCCCGATTACGTGTAAGGTGGGAGAAGTACTCAGATCAAGTAAAAGTAGTATACTGCAGGGTTAGGCAGCTTGTGAATTTACTACAGGTGTAACTAAAGTCTGATTTAAGAGTTGATTATATTTCACATCATTAATCCAGATCTGTAAAGTAACTTAAGGTGTTAAATAAATGTAGTGGAGTAAAAGTACACCATTTACCTCTGAACTGTAGAGGAGCAGAAGTACAAAGAAGCAAAAGTGGAAATACTGAAGTACCTCAATATAAGTACAGTACTTGAGTGAATCTACTTAGTTACTAACACCACTGCAGGTATGTTATGTGTGTGAGCAGCCCATAATCCACACTATACATCAAATAAATCAATGTTAATTCTGTTTCCAATTTGTTTAGTTTTTCCCCTAGGAAATAACAAAAATAACCTGTTATTATACTGTGATAATACTGTTAAAGAACCGTATCGATAAGCAGTATTTGTAATTGTTTCAATTCGGCCTCATTATTTCACAGTGGCACAGGATCATCTGCCAAAACAAGCACTTTTGTTCATGTTCAATCCATAATATAATATACAATTATAGTTGGATCTTTTTGTCTTGTTATTATTAGCAGAGAAAATGTAATGTTTGTACAACTATATACAATTCATTCTACCAATCTCGGTGGGAACGGGGTTAGGGGGGTCTCGAAAATATTTCCAATTACCCACTGGGGGCCTGACTGAAAAAGGTTGGGAACCACTGGACTAGGAGTCCCACAGAGTGATGGGGGCCGGTGGGGCTGATTGAGAGCGTTTAGCTCCAGGTCCCTGCACCAAGGAAGGGATCATGAAAAGAGCTCAAGGTGGAGAACAGATTGATTCACATCAATATGAAGTTGTTTTGAACGTGGACAGCCAGCAGAGGGCAGCCTGCGGGACAATAAAGTATATCTCTTATATGTATGTTATTAAGCACAGAGGCCTTTGGTAAACTGAACAGACGGAAACAGCAGAGAGTTGAGGAACAGAAAGTTTCTACATGTTCTCCATGAGTCCACAGGGAGATGTAGCCTCTACTTCCTCCACCTCCTCTCTCTCTCTGTTTCTCAAGGACAGGTGTCTGCTTGACGTGTGAAAGGTCATGATTGTAATGCTTCACTGCTCCTCACAGTTTTAAGGTCTTGTGTCACGTAGAGTCTGAACCGTGTTCCTGCACTCATCCTGAAAACTGGAGATCATGTTGTCAGTAACTTTGCTTGTCATGTTGGGCTTTCGGTGTCAGGGTGAGAGACTTTGAAAATGTATCATCTGAAATGATAGGAGTAATGTATGTGTGGTACAATGTGTGTCTTTTCTTTTCATGTTTGCATCCAATGTGCTTTGTCTATAACTCTTTCTATTATAATTTAAACTGCTGCTCCATGTTGTTGGTTATCTAACATTTCACTTCACATTTCAGAGTCTTCTGCCAACAAGTTCCTGACTCAGACTGACACATCCAAGTCTGTTAGTCCTGGAGGGACTGTGACCATCAGCGCTACAGGGAGCTCAGATATTGGTCCTGATCTCAGTTGGTATCTTCAGAAACCTGGACAGGCTCCTAAACTTCTTATATACTCATCATCAACTAGGTTCTCTGGAACTGAGCCTATTCAGTGGTACTAGAACTGGTACTCAGTACACTTTAACCATCAGTAACGTTAAGGATGGTGATGCAGGAGATTACTATTGTCTGGGTGCTCATGGTGGTGGCGTGTTCACACAGTGATTTAGAGCCGTGCAAAAAGCTCCTTCAGTCTGAAGTAAAGCGTCCTGCTGCAGCTGCAGAGGTGAAGAGACTGAGAGGAGGGAAACTGGTCCAGTGAACACAAGAGTCATCAAGCAGAACCACCATGAACCCAAATAAAGCTGACACTCTTCAGTTCTTGATGACTAAACTGAAGGTTAGATTATTGTTCGGCATTGATATCAAAATACATTTAAACGTATCTCTACTAAAACCTGCATAACATACAGTAATCTCTGACACAGACCACTGCACGCTGAGTAGAGAGGAACTTCACCAAACACTAACTATTCACACTAATATGTTGAATTAAACAATGCTTGGAAATAAAGGAATCTACTCTTAGCCTGCAGAAAAATCTATGCCTGATATTATATTTGAGCCATCCTCTCAGCCTCACTAAAAATTAAGTTCACATTAGCATCAAATACGTAATCACAATAAAACTGTTTCATATAATTGTCTTCACTACCAAGTCACTTTCATTGACAATGTTATAGATAAGAAACTTAAATAATGTTCTAAACTAATCCAAAGCTGTATATTGTTCTGCAGATAGAAGTGCAGTATGTTATAAAACCTTTTAATGTCTTACTACTTTAAATAAAACACCAAACACTTCATCATGTTATTTATCAGAGAAAGCTTTATTAGGAACATCCTGAATCATCAACATGACAGTTACTAAGCACACTCTCATCTCTGCTGAGCTTCACACATCACTCTCTGACTTGTTGCTGTCCAACACTTTACAGCAGTGTTGTTCTCGGCCACACAAAGCTTCACTTTCCTCTACAAACATTAAAACTCCTGATGATCAGAGCAGCATGTGTTCTCCTGGGCTCCAGCGGCCCCTCTAGCCCTCACACCGGCTCCTGCGGAGGGACTGGGTCTGGCCGTGGCCATGATGGAGGACCCTGCAGGAGTACAGCTCTCCTGACATCCAGCGCTCCTGGCTCAGGCTCAGGCTGCTGCTGCTGCTGTAGCGTCCGCTCTTCTCCTCCTCCGAGCTGCTCAGGACCCCCTCTGTCACCTCTGTGCCGTCCACCTCCCAGCTCACCACGGCTCCCTGAGGAGAGTAGCCGGTCAGCAGGCAGGCCAGTGTGAGCGAGCCCCCAGAGAGCTGCTCAGAGGAGGAGGGGGCCAGCAGAGAGACGGAGGGCCTGAGCATGGCGCCCGCTGCAGGGGAGAGAGACACAAGGAGCAGATTCACTTCCACTGAGGGACAGACGCTGTGAGACAGAGTCCATACAGGACACATTCAAACATTCAAAGGCTTTATTGTCATATGCACAGTAGCTGCAGTGAATCAGAACCAGAGTCAGAATACCTTCAGTGGTCCCACAGAGGGGACATTCACGCTGTTACAGCAGAAAAGAGCCAAAGACAGCTTCATGTTACGTAGAAGCATGCATACACAAGTATTCAAGTTAAACAAATATTTCATAAAAAAGTTACACAATTTACAAAATACACATCCTGTAACAGTTCTGAGGATTCAGCAGCCAGGTATATAATGCACAGTTATTAACGGCATATATATATATATATATATATATATATATATATATATACATATTGCACATATTGCACATATTGCACATATTGCACATAGGCAATGTAGATAAGGCAATGAAAAGCCCAAGGCTCCTCCAACAATGCAACATACAAAGATGTAGGACATAAAACAATAAAACATAATTCTGGCATTTAAAATAATGAATGTTCTTCTTTGGCACTCATCAAAACTCCTTAAGAGTGACATGAAAGTGTGCAACGTAATGAAGGTGTTAATGTAATGATCATTATATGAAAAGCTTTATCTCTGCTTTACAATGTTTCAGAATGAATAACTAATCTCTGCAATAATTGACTGTTAAGAAAAACAAAATGCAACATCTCATACAGTTGAAGACTTTGTCATCTGTTTGTTTCACTTCCTTTGAACTCTTTGAAACTAACGGACTGTGAACGCACCCTGCAGCGACTCTGAATGTACACAAATACACTTTCATTAGTTTTAACGGATCCTCAGCAGATTTGATAAGAAACACTTGTTAAATGTTCAAATATATTACAATTTGAAAGTAAATCACACTTAGATGTGATGACATAGCAGCTGTTCTTTGGTCAATTGTGAGCTAAAAATGTGTTTATATCTTATTAAAAAAGAAAAGTAAAACGTACATATAATTCACCGTAACATCTTCTTTAATATTTAAATAAAACTAACTTCGCTTAATGTTTTTCAATTCTTCAGCCAAGCTTTATAGATGTAAAAAAATATCAACATAATAAATATTATCCAAAATAATGTCTTGATTTATCATATTCTGATGCAAAAGTAAATGTAATGTTTTGTGTTAGAAAATACAAATCTCTGGTACTTACAGTGAAAGATGAGTTTGGTTCCTCCACCAAAAGGCCACCACAGTGATACAAACTCATTAAGTGGCCGTACAAAAACCTCCTGCACTGTCAACAAGCATGTATCCACTGAGAAAGCTCCCTGATCTCACTGATAACAGAGACAAATATACAGTTTTTAAATTAACAAAGCTTTTCTAAAGATATGGATTACATCTCTGGAAGAATAAATATGATTTATGTCATTTTTCATCACTTTTCTACACCTGGCAGAGAAACCATTACAGTCTGCTACACAACTAACTTTGTCAGTTTTATATTAGTCTCTGGTTAAATGAACATGAGGCTTTTAAATAATAGTTATTAACAAATGTATTTGAAACAGAACTGAAACATGTTATTTATCTACAGTGAATCTCTGTATGTATGTTAATGTCAGACAAACAGACATATCATACCAACCACAGTGGACACAAACTCAAATCCTCATCTCCACTCCTGATATAAATATGTTCTTCCATTCAGATGATAGACGGTGTAAATCCAGACAGCTTTCCTCCTGGTTTCGTGTCCCACGTTGCCTTCAGTGTGCTGAGAGCAGAGACATCATTTCCATAGAGAGGAGGCTTTGCATGGTCAGCTGATCCTCCAGTGAGAAGGTTTATAGTCCTGTGAGTTCAACACTGCAGGACTCACATCTGTCAGTCAGCAGAAAGCACCATGACTCTCATCACCATCCTCATCTGGACGCTGGCCTGCTGCTGTTTCACAGGTTCATTCACTCTGCAACATTTCAAACATCATGTGCTGCCTTTCCTCTCCTTTCTTTCTGCTGAGAAATCAATGATCTGTTTTTGTGTGCAGGATGCAGCGGTCAGGTGACTGTGACTCAGCCTGCAGTCCAGACATCTGCTCCAGGATCCACCGTCACTCTCACCTGTAAAACCAGCAGCAAAGTTTATACCAACTGCGGTAGTAGTCGTGAATGTATGTCCTGGTATCAACAGAAATCTGGAAAGCCTCCAACGCTCTTAATAAAACAAGTGAGCATTGTTCATTCAGGAACAGAACCTCGGTTTAGTGGCAGTGGAAGCGGCTCTGAGTTCTCTATGACCATCACTGGACTGAAGGCTGAAGATGCAGCAGTTTATTACTGTCAGAGTATTCACAACATAAACAGTGCTTGGGTGTTCACACAGTGATTTGTAGTCGTACAAAAACCTCCCTCAGTCAGACTGCAGAGACTCTGAGCTGTTACAGCAGGAACCACCTGCAGCTGCTGAAGAGGAAGAGACTGACACAGCCCACTGAACTCAGAGCTGACAGGAACCCACCCAGCACTATTCACTTCATATTCTTAAATATACATAATCTTACTACTCATTGAGATTAAACTAGTTAAAAAAACACATTTGATGTAAAACCAGCATTACACACAAACCATATTATGATCTCTGCTTCTCTCTCCAAAGTATTATTTTTACTATTTACATTTTGGAGCAAGGCAGCTTTAGTTGTTCTCAGCTGTTGGTGCTCCATTATCTCCCTGACCTCAGATCAGAGTGATATGATCTCTGTCTCCATCAGTGTTGCAATTCCTAATTCAGAAGATCATGTTTTTGTATCTTCTTTCTTTATTTTGAAACCACCTACCCCACACCAATCTCAGCCCACTGAACTCAGAGCTGACAGGAATCCACCCAGCACTATTCACTTCTTATTCTTAAATATACATATGTTAATGGATTAATGAGATTAAACCCAGTCCAAAACACATTATATGTAAAAGCAGCATTATACACAAACCTTATTGTGATCTCTGCTTCCCCGAATTAAAACAACAAACGCTCTTTATCTTTTCCCCACATGTCTCCACTCGGTGTGCTTCACAGCAGGAGCATCTCTGGCCTCTCTGGAGTTATTATTTCATCATTATTATAAAGATCCTGGTTCAAAATGACAAAGATCAATCTAATGAAGTCTTTCAAATGTTAAACGGTGGCTGATTAAAACCCTCTTATTCACATCAATCAATGAACTTATCCATCAGTTAACCTCAAATTCACATCTTAGTTAAAAACTTCAGGTTTTCTAAAACAGCAGGAACATCCAAGAGACGTTTAGTTTGAACATGATTTGACCCCTGACCCCCCCTGAGACCACCAGTGCAAAGCAGAGGCTTTAGGAATAGCAGACGTACATCAGGATCAGAATCAAGTTTATTACCAGATACTTTGACACATACAAGGAATTTGCTTTGGTGTCTGGTGGTACGAACACAAACAATCTAAACAACACTTAGGACAAATAATATATGACAATATATGTTCATATGGTGATTGTCAGTATTGAGTATGTAAGTCGCTTTGGATAAAAGCATCTAACAAGTAACATGCAATGTAATGTAATGTAATATGGCAAACTACAGTGAATTATATTTAAAGTGGAGGGCTGTGCAGACATGTGTGCAAACATGTGTAAAATGCAGTCAGAGTTGAGCATGAACATGGCTCTCAGAATTAAGAAAGGAAAAAGAACAAGATGTTGTTCACACGATGTGCAATAATGTAACTCTGTGTGACTGGCGAAGCCACACACAGTCTACTATTCAACATACTTATTAGTGCGAATGCTGTTCAACTATTGTTCTTCAAATCTTTATTCTTCCACATCTTATTATTGTGCTTTCTTCCTGTAGTTCCTGCCTGTGTACATGACACAAGCTGCTCACAACCAATTGCCCCTTGGGGGATCAATACAGTTGTTGATTGATTGATTATTTCAACCAGATTTCGCCGTCTAACTACTTCAGCATACTTTCAGCTACAGAGACCATTCACATATTAAAATGTCCATCTCCTTCAGGACATGTGTGCTATGACTTTTCTTGTTTTTGACATTTATACTTTTTAAAAATATACCGCTTTTTAAACTTATATTTGTACAATGTAACCCAATGGGAGTATCCTTCAAATCCTCTTTTACCTACACCGTGTTTAAATGCTGCTCCTTCAGAATACTTTCAGCTACAGACTTCATTCCAACTTTGAAACGGTCACAAAACATTCAGCTATTACATTTGTATTCAGCTTTTTGATATCTTTTAGAGTTTTCAGGCCGTTTTAGATGATATAATGGTTGTCTATGGGATGGACTCTTCAGGGCGTGACATCATCACTTAGAGTGTAGGGTGGTGCAACTGCCTGGTTTGGCACCCCCACTATAACTTTGTCAAGGGTGGTCATACTCCCACCAAAATCACACTGGTGTTTGTTGTCCCCCTCTAGTTTGTGCACACTAAAGCATTTTACTCTCGGCTCAGCAGGTGAGAAACTAAAGAGGGGCTTCCACATGTGGCAGACCAGGTGTTGGTGCTGCCGGAGTTGGCACCCCCACTATAACTTTGTCCTAGATAGTTGTACTGTCACCAAAATCACACCGGTGTTGGTTCTTTCCATCTTATCTGAGAAGGTTTTTCATCTTCTGTCTAATGTTATGTTGGTGTCTCGTTTCGGTCATAACGCCATTTGCTGGTTTCAGAGTTATCTAACCGACCGTACTCAATGCGTCAGGTTGGGTAGTACTGTCTCTGACCCTGTCACCTTGGAGAAGGGAGTTCCACAGGGCTCTGTTTTGGGGCCCTTGCTCTTTTTATTATATGTAAACAATATTTGTAATCAGATGCAATTTTCTACCTATAATATGTATGCTGATGACACGATTGTATACTCATGTGCTCCTTCTCTGGATGTGGCCGTTTCCAATTTAAAATCTGATTTTATCACGCTGCAGCATGCGCTTCTTGATTCTAAACTGCTATTGAACGGTAAGAAAACCAAAGCAATGCTTTTTGCTCCCAAGTCAGTGTCCTCTTGCCTCTCCATTGACACCCTTGCTGGCGTCTCTGTTGAGTTTGTCGATACGTACAAATATCTGGGTTTTTGGTTGGACAGAAATCTAAACTTTAAACACCATATTGAAATTTTAACTAAGACATTGAAATTCACTCTTGGCTTCCTTTACAGACTTAAACGTTGTTTTTCAACTTCTTCCCGTAAAAGGTTGGTCTCTGGCTTATTCCTGTCCCAGCTTGACTACGGTGATACAATCTATAGATTTGCCTGTCCCACTGTTTTGGCCAAACTTGACCCACTCTACCATGCTGCACTGCGATACATATCAAATGCACCCTATAGGACTCATCATTGCACACTGTATAGCCTAACTGGATGGTCCTCACTTAGTATGCGTGGGATGCAGCAATGTTTTTTATTATTATAAAGCCATTTTAGGTAAGCTTCCACTGTATATGAGCCAGATTTGCTCCAGTTTGTGACTCTTACCTCAGATCCAGTGCCTGGATACAGTTCCAGGTTCCTGCCGTACGGACTGAGGCTGGAAAAAGGAGTCTTTTTTATTATGGTCCTTGGTCTTGGAATGACCTTCAATCAAGCATCAAACTGATGGCTCTTGTCCCTATAGCCTGTTTTAAATTGAAGTTGTCTGAGGTCCTTACCACCAGCTGCTCTTGCAGTAATAAGTAGTGCACCTTTCTTACTGTCCCAAATGTGCTCAATGTAGTGACTGCTTTTCGTCTTTTGTTTACTTAGTTGTGTTCTCTGTATTTTATATGTCTGTGTTATGTGTAAGAACGTGTAACGTTGCTGCCTTCTTGGCCAGGTCAGCATTGTAAATGAGATTTTGTCTCAATGTTTTCATCTGGTTAAATAAATGTAAAACATTTTTTATAAAGCCATGGAAAGAGATGCACGATGCAACTTAGAGACAAAATGACCAAAGAGAGAGAGGAGAAAATAGACGCAACAAGTCCACAAAGAAATGCAAAATGATGAGAAAGAGGCATGACGCCACAAAGAAGTGCTAAATTACTTCATAAAGAGGCAAAACAACTACAAAGAGACACATACACACTCTAGATTGTTAAACAGGGCGACTGCAAAGTGATAAAGACTCACAAGAGAACTTTGCTCCGATAAAGAAGGGACTTTTATGTCACTGTATCTCAGATTCTGTGCATGATGTGAAAGATTCAAATGTCTCTACATACTCCTATTTCGACACAAGAGGGCAGCATTGTTGTTTTTATGCAGATGTAACACAGACAACTCTCAGAGAAGATTTGTTGGGCTTGATGCACAATTATCCAGTTTGTAAATAAGGTTATTGCTGTTTTTACAGCTGGTACTGGTAGTCTACATCCAGGGTGATATACTGATTTGAGTCTACAGAGAGTTCATTAACCAGCCTTTACATACATAGGGTTAGTTTAGTTTAATGTTCAAACTGTTCTTCATATAAAATATTTTATATTAAGTAGCTATATTTTATTTCTCTGTCTCTGGGCTGTAGTGGATTTGAAATAAATTAACGCTGAAGATGCATGAAGTGACTGCTGTATGGGAGCTAATGTGGGCCTCATATAGTCATACAAGAACCTCCCTCGTATGAAACAGCGTACAGAGTGCTGAGCTGTGACCTGACCTGAGGTTCTGATACGCACCACCGGCACAAACGTACAGAAACTACATGAGCCCCAGTCAGAGGGGAAGTGAAACTCCAATGTTCCCCTTTCCTAATCCAGATGTTCAATTATATACATAGTCACTAAGAACAAAAAGGCCATCTCTGATGAGAGATGAATGTGAAACAGGATCTACAGTGTGACACTATGTGACTAGTACTGTGTTGCACATTTATTAACCCGGCAATACATTAAAATGCATAGATCAGGGGTGTCTTGTACATTTGAATTGACCCTAAGCCAATTCTAAAAGTATAATGGAATATTGCCCACACCTGAAACTTCAGCTTGTCTTATATTATACTTCTTAAATATATATGTTGACATATATTACACATTAGTATTCATGTATTAATAAGCCCACTTTTCAAATAAATTCAGTCAATTTAAGTTGAAAACATTTTCTAACAAATCTTAGTTGATAAAAAAAAGCCCAATAACTTATTTGCATAAAAAGCTTGAAATATATACTTCATATTTCCCCTTATCTTAAGCAATCTGAGGCTTCTGTTTTAAGGGATGAGATGCCAACACATAACAAAATAAACGAAACCCTATTAAGAGCTGTGAGCTTTCTTAAATCATATTCAAGTAACAAGCATGATTTACTTACATTTGATTGATTTTGCTAATTTATAATTAATGTATGAGGCAAAATACCTCAAATCTAGTGAGTGGCCCAGCCCTTTGTATGTTTTTCTCTATGTTCAAGGTTCAAGATTTTTATTTTGTCATACGAACATAGCTACAGTGTAGTTATGACGATGAAAATCTTAGGTCACAGGCTTCAGTCTGAAGTAAAGCGTCCTGCTGCAGCTGCAGAGGTGAAGAGACTGAGAGGAGGGAAACTGGTCCAGTGAACACAAGAGTCATCAAGCAGAACCACCATGAATCCAAATAAAGCTGACACACACTCACAGACACTCTTCAATACCCTGTTTCAACTATATTATAGTCATTCAATTCAGTCTCTTTATGAGGGAGCTGGGAAAGTTAGATTCATGTTGAACTATAGCCACTGATATCAACATATATTTAACACTAACTTTATGAATGGCTGTACAAAACAATTATTACTATTAGCACGTTCCAAACACACGCAACACAATTTAAATCGTGTAAACACACAATGTAGTAATTTACACTCCACTGTCCCACAGTCATTATAAATGATATTAATATAATACGAGGTTTCATACTGAAGGTATTCATACATCTTTCTCACAATGAACATATGAATTAAAGAAATACAAAGACAGTGTCTCATTTTAATCAACATTTTTATTTAATGATGGTTTAAAGCTCACGCCACATTGAGATGAATGATGAGTTTCTGTTGGAGTGAAACAAATGAAATCCAGTTGAATTGTGAGCTGATGAACAAACAGGAGAATATGCAGGAAGTGAGGATTAGAGAGCAGCACTAACAACTGAACAGAGACAGCAGCAACATGTGAGCAGAGGAGATGTGTGTCTTCATGAAGATCTCTACCAAAGAAGCTGCTTCCTCTCCAGACAGGAAGTGATGCTCTACTCCGAGCAGCGGGCAGGGTCCAGGCTTTGAGTGACAGGGCTCTGTCCACTCAGACTGGCCTCACAGCTCACTGAGCCCGCCCCCCTCCAGCGCTCTGCAGAGAGGCTCAGGGTGCTGCTCCAGCTGTAGCAGCCGTCGCTCCCCAGGACCTCCGGGCTGTGGGACCCCCCTGAGGAGCTGCTGCTGCCCCCCAGCTTCCAGTCCAGCCTCCAGGCCGAGGGGAAGCCCCCGCTGGCCAGACACACCACGGTGGCACTGCCCTGCTGCAGCTCCTCTCTGGAGGGGGGGAGGACGCTCAGGGTGGGCCGCTGCACACCCACTGGAGCAGGGAGGGAGGGGGGGAGGCAAAGGAAGACATTAGAGTGAACACTTGATTATAAGGTCCTTTTTTGATGTTGTCATTTTGCTGCTGTCAAATCCTTGAGTCAGTACTTTACGATACCAGTCACCTCTGTGGAAACATTGGTATCACTGCCTTTTTTAATTTACATTTGAGTGTTGTATGTCTTTTAAAAATGGACCTTGAGTCTCTTCAATAAAGCTGATGATGATGATGATGATGATGATGATGATGATGATGATGATGATGATGATGATGAGGAAAAGTAACAAACTTGTGTTTTCTTTTAAAAGAACATCCATAACATTCATCTGTTTGCAACTTACACATCATTTATCTCATATATCATATTCCAATTACTTGTATATAGACTCTCCTTGCACTATTGTATCTGTGTTATTGTGTTGCTCTGTGGGAGGAGCCTGTGACCTAAGATGTTCATTATCATATCTGCACTGTAGCTCTGTGGGAGGAGCCTGTGACCTAAGATGTTTACTCACATATCTGCACTGTAGCTCTGTGGGAGGAGCCTGTGACCTAAGATGTTCATTAACATATCTGCACTGTAGCTCTGTGGGAGGAGCCTGTGACCTAAGATGTTCATTAACATATCTGCACTGTAGCTCTGTGGGAGGAGCCTGTGACCTAAGATGTTCATTCACATATCTGCACTGTAGCTCTGTGGGAGGAGCCTGTGACCTAAGATGTTCATTAACATATCTGCACAGTAGCTCTGTGGGAGGAGCCTGTGACCTAAGATGTTCACTAACATATCTGCACTGTAGCTCTGTGGGAGGAGCCTGTGACCTAAGATGTTCATTAACATATCTGCACTGTAGCTCTGTGGGAGGAGCCTGTGACCTAAGATGTTCACTCACATATCTGAACTGTAGCTCTGTACAAATGACAATAAAAGCCTTGAATCCTTGAATCCTTGTATTTCATCAAATAAAACAGAACAAGTTGTGCTGCTGTTACTCTCATAAATCACTCAGGATCAGACCCCCACATGATTCAAGTGTGAATGACTGACTTTGTGTAAAGTGAGCAAGCTAAAGATTCATTGATAATAATGATTGAATATCTTCATATGTGTGATGATGTTCTTTAAACTGACAGAGCTGAACGTCTCAAGTGAAAACAGTTCAAACATTTATCATCTGTCTCTTTCACTTCCTTTTCACTGCATGTCAAATCAATGAACCGTGAACACGACGACAAGCTGCATTCACTGATACAATCACAAGTTTAAAATGAATCCATATTTAACTTGAATTCAACAAAATAGTTGATATTTTAATAGACAATAGATAAATAATGTAAATAAATACAATATTGTGAACTACAAATGTAAAACTGAATGTGGCGGAGACGTCACGCTTTAACAAATCTTAATAAATAAAAAATTGAGTATAAAGTTGTTATGATAATAAAATATAATATAGAAAATAAACAAGTTATTTGCTTTAAAAAATGTATTTGTAAGAAACTAACAATTAAAATAGAAGTCTGCAAAGGTTCCTTTCAGATTACAAGATGAGCTTAATACAAAAATATAAAAATGGAATCTAAAAATGTTTGAAGTTGAGTCTCATTTAATAATTAATGAAAGTTATATATTTGCTATAAGTTGTATAAAATACAAATCTCTGGTACTTACAGTCAATGATGAGTTTGGTTCCTCCACCAAAAGTCCACCACAGTGATACAAACTCATTAAGTGGCCGTACAAAAACCTCCTGCACTGTGAACAAGCATGTATCCACTGAGAAAGCTCCCTGATCTCACTGATAACAGAGACAAATATACAGTTTTTAAATTAACAAAGCTTTTCTAAAGATATGGATTACATCTCTGGAAGAATAAATATGATTTATGTCATTTTTCATCACTTTTCTACACCTGGCAGAGAAACCATTACAGTCTGCTACACAACTAACTTTGTCAGTTTTATGTTAGTCTCTGGTTAAATGAACATGAGGCTTTTAAATAATAGTTATTAACGAATGTATTTGAAACAGAACTGAAACATGTTATTTATCTACAGTGAATCTCTGTATGTATGTTAATGTCAGACAAACAGACATATCATACCAACCACAGTGGACACAAACTCAAATCCTCATCTCCACTCCTGATATAAATATGTTCTTCCATTCAGATGATAGACGGTGTAAATCCAGACAGCTTTCCTCCTGGTTTCGTGTCCCACGTTGCCTTCAGTGTGCTGAGAGCAGAGACATCATTTCCATAGAGAGGAGGCTTTGCATGGTCAGCTGATCCTCCAGTGAGAAGGTTTATAGTCCTGTGAGTTCAACACTGCAGGACTCACATCTGTCAGTCAGCAGAAAGCACCATGACTCTCATCACCATCCTCATCTGGACGCTGGCCTGCTGCTGTTTCACAGGTTCATTCACTCAGCAACATTTCAAACATCATGTGCTGCCTTTCCTCTCCTTTCTTTCTGCTGAGAAATCAATGATCTGTTTTTGTGTGCAGGATGCAGCGGTCAGGTGACTGTGACTCAGCCTGCAGTCGAGAACTCTGCTCCAGGATCCACCGTCACTCTCACCTGTAAAACCAGCACAGATGTTTACGCAGATGGCAATGGTCAATATATGCTCTGGTATCAACAGAAATCTGGACAGCCTCCAAAGCTCCTGATAAAACTAGCGAGCACACGTGAATCAGGAACAGAACCTCGGTTTAGTGGCAGTGGAAGCGGCTCTGACTTCTCTATGACCATCACTGGACTGAAGGCTGAAGATGCAGCAGTTTATTACTGTCAGAGTTACCACAGAGGTAACGTGTTCACACAGTGATTTGTCGTGGTACAAAAACCTCCCTCAGTCAGACTGCAGAGACTCTGAGCTGTTACAGCAGGAACCACCTGCAGCTGCTGAAGAGGAAGAGACTGACACAGCCCACTGAACTCAGAGCTGACAGGAACCCACCCAGCACTATTCACTTCTTATTCTTAAATATACATATGTTAATGGATTAATGAGATTAAACCCAGTCCAAAACACATTATATGTAAAAGCAGCATTATACACAAACCTTATTGTGATCTCTGCTTCCCCGAATTAAAACAACAAACACTCTTTATCTTTTCCCCACATGTCTCCACTCGGTGTGCTTCACAGCAGGAGCATCCCTGGCCTCTCTGGAGTTATTATTTCATCATTATTATAAAGATCCTGGTTCAAAATGACAAAGATCAATCTAATGAAGTCTTTCAAATGTTAAACGGTGGCTGATTAAAACCCTCTTATTTACATCAATCAATGAACTTATCCATCAGTTAACCTCAAATTCACATCTTAGTTAAAAACTTCAGGTTTTCTAACAAACAGTTTGATTGAAGTTTCCTGAAATGTTTTTTTGTTCCATTATTGAAACCCAAAACAGCAGGAACATCCAAGAGACGTTGAGTTTGAACGTGATTTGACCCCTGACCCCCCCTGAGACCACCAGTGCAAAGCAGAGGCTTTAGGACTAGCAGACGTACATCACGATCAGAATCAAGTTTATTACCAGATACTTTGACACATACAAGGAATTAGCTTTGGTGTCTGGTGGTACGAACACAAACAATCTAAACAACACTTAGGACAAATAATATATCACAATATATGTTCATATGGTGATTGTCAGTATTGAGTATGTAAGTCGCTTTGGATAAAAGTAACATGTAATGTAATGTATCAAATCAAATCAAATCAAGTTTTATTTATAAAGCACATTTAAAAGCGATTTTTGGTCGAGCCAAAGTGCTGTACATGTAATAAAAACACATTACTGCAATCACAATAAAAGACAATAAATTACAACAGATATATATAAAAAATAAAAATAAAACACAATGTAATGTAATATAGCAAACTACAGTGAATTGTATTTAAAGTGGAGGGCTGTGCATGTCACATCCTGGCCCTGGCTGATCGCCTCACTCCCTCACCTGTGTGTTTTTCCTTCCCTGTTAATCACCTGCCTGGCCTCAATGAGCCTCAGCTGCCGATGAGAGACGAAGATGAAGACTGTTCCGGGATCGGCCGGAAGAAGGAAGTGAAGTTGGAGACGCGTGGCAGAAAGTTCACAGAGAATCGGAAATTCGGATACATACAGAAACGGTAGCATTGGACTGTTATTTTGGCGGATTTGCATAAACTGTACATTGAGTGTTTCATCATGTCAACCAGCTCAGATGGTAGCCAAAGACACAATATGGAATGGATGATAGCCAAAGCTGCGAAGAAGAAAAGATCTTTGAGAGACAGAGATAGTTCAGTAAGAGCTCGAAGTTGGTCGGATTGGTCGGGTGAAGCAGACGAGGCTAAGCAAAACAAAAAATCAAGAGTCAGTCAAAATGACAGTCAAGCAATGTTGAATAAAGAAATAGAACACGAGTGGAAAGTGGTAATAGAATTCAATCAGGATGGTGGGCATTACCACCCGATTAAACTTACCAAAGCAATTGAAAAAGAGATTGGAAAAATTAAATTTGCTAAATTCATGAACAATAAGCGGGTATTGATACATGCCAATAACAAACAGCAGCAGGAAAAGATTCTGGGAATGAACTCACTGAATGGGGAGAAAATGAAGGCGCATGTTCCAGGAGCAATGGCGAAACTGAGAGGAGTAATCTCAGGAGTACCATTGGACATGTCAATGGAAGATGTGAAAAGTGAATTAAAAGGAGGCAAAATAGTGGAAGTCACAAGGCTTAAAAGCAAACGGGATGGTACACTCAAAGAAACATTATCAGTTCTCATTCAGTTTGAGAGAATCTTACCTAAGGCAGTACAAATGGGATATTTGAACTTCATGGTTAGGGAGTACATCCCCAAACCTCTCAGGTGCTACGCATGTCAACGAATGGGGCACACAGCGCAGCAGTGTAAAGGACAGCTAAGGTGTGCGAGATGCGGAGGAAAACATGAGTATGGAAAATGTGAAAAGGATGCAAAGGTTAAATGTTGTAACTGCGGAGGAGATCACAGTGCTGCGTTTGGAGGTTGTGAAGTGCAGAGAGAGGCCAGAGAGGTGCAGAGAGTTAAGATTACAAACAAAGTTTCATACGCAGAAGCAATAAAGAAAGTAAGGGGAACAGTAACAATCAATAAGACCCCTAGTGGAATGGAGCAGAGCATTACAATACAACATGTCAGGAACACACCAAAAAGTAATCTTCAAATCCAACCCCACAGCGCCACCAAGAGTAAAGAGGATGATGATGTTTTAGGAGTGAAAAAGGTGAATTTTGTGGTATTTATATGCCATACTGTAAATGTTGCATTGCAGTTAAAAAAGAAAAGTGATAGAATCAAAGCCATTGTGGAGGCAGCTGGAAAATTCCTTGACATGAAAGATATTAAAGCAGATCAGATACATGCAATGCTAACTATACATGGAGCTGGGGAAAATGAAAATCAGGATGAGTGTTAGATCCTTAATCATGGTGCTGCACATACTACAGTGGAACGCAAGAAGCCTCATAGCTAATGGTCAAGAATTCAAGAAATATATATATGATCTAGAGGTAGTCCCTGAGGTAATATGTGTGCAAGAAACCTGGTTACGACCTCAATTAGACTTTGTCATTCCAGGATTTAGCTGTATAAGGCATGATAGAGATAATAATCAAAATGGTGGAGGGTGTGCCACGTTTCTCAAAGATGGTGTGGCATATAGGGAGGTGCAATCTCCTGATGATATAGAGTGTATTATAGTGGAAATCTGCAACCCTAGGAAACAAGATAACATTAGGATAATCAATTTATACAACCCATGTAAAAATCTAACCACTGATATATTTAAAGAAATAGCAGGCAATAAACATAGGAAGGAAGTTTGGTGTGGTGATTTCAATGCACACAACAGTCTATGGGGCAGCAACCATACAGACAGTAACGGAAATATAGTGGAAGAAATGCTGGAGGAAAGAACACTAGTATGCCTTAATGATGGACATGGCACAAGAGTAGATGTACACAGGGGGAAAGTATCATGCCTGGATCTGACATTAGTGTCAAACTGTTTGGTTCATACATGCGAATGGTTTGTTTTGAATAAATCCACAGTAGGAAGTGACCATTATCCAGTGCTTACTAAAATGAATACTAATGTATATATACAGGAAGGAGGTGCAATAACCAGGTGGTGCTTTGCTAAAGCTGATTGGGGGAAATTTAGGATATGGTGTGAGGAGTCGGTACACCTGCTAACATCAGAGGGAAGCATAGAGGTCATTACAAGCCAAATAACGCAACATATTCTAAATGCAGCAGAGAACAGTATACCCAAAACAACAACCAAGGGTAGGAAGAAAGTGGTGCCATGGTGGAATGAGGAATGCAGCAGGGCTATTAAAGAGCGAAATAATGCATTTAGAGAATTAAAGAAAAACATGACACAAAATAATGTTATAGAGTTTCAAAGGAAAAGGGCAGCTGCTCGAAGGACAATCAAATACACAAAAAAAAGAACATGGAGAGAATTTTGTTCTACCATTGGCAGAGGAGTAAAATTAGGTGATGTCTGGTCCATGTTTAAGCGGATGAGTGGGAAAAGGAAATCCATTAAAATTCCAGCTTTGGTTGATGGGGAGAGGCTGGCAGTGACAGATAAAGAGAAGGCAGACATGTTAGGAAGGACACTTGCAGCAGTACATAGCGGGGAACATCTCAGTGATATTCATAGGCAGCAAAAACAGCAGTTACTAGCAGAGAATGAAAACGTGAAGGAGAAGAGACAGGATAATAGGTCAGCTCTTGATGTGGAATTTACAATGTCAGAACTCAAAATAGCCTTACAAGGTACAGGTTATACAGCCCCAGGACAAGACCAGCTATGTTATGCTATGTTTAGACAGTTGCCTATGGAAACTATGACAATGGTGCTGAGTCTTTTCAATAAAATCTGGAGAGAAGGAGATATGCCAAGTTTGTGGAAAACAGCAGTCGTGCTACCATTCAATAAGCCAGGGAAAGATACAGCTAACCCTAGTAACTACAGACCAATAGCTCTTACATCACACCTATGTAAATGGATGGAAAAGATCATTGTCCGTAGGCTCTCACATGTACTGGAGCAGAAAGGGCTGCTGAGTAGTTTTCAGAGCGGATTTCGTAAAGGGCGGTCCACAATAGATGCTTTAGTAAGAGTGAGTAATGATGTGGAAAAAACATTGAAAATGAAAGAGATAATGGCAATAGTGTACTTTGACATTGAAAAGGCGTATGACTGTATGTGGAGGGATGGGTTACTGATCAAATTGAGTAGAATGGGTATTGGAGGGAGAATGTACAATTGGGTAAGGGCCTTTTTAACAGACAGGACATTTAGAGTAAAGGTTGGAGCAGATATTTCCAACTATTTTGAAATAGAAAATGGTATCCCCCAAGGGAGTGCAGTCAGTCCAATATTATTTAACATCATGATCAATGATATATTTACATGTTTAGACACATGCATTCAATCGGCTCTATACGCAGATGATGGGGCTATTTGGATGAGGGGAAGAAATGCCCCATACGTAATGGAGAATATAGCTAGAGCGATTAAACAAGTGGAGAGGTGGTCATATAACTGGGGATTCAAAATGTCAGAAAGCAAGTCATGCTACATGGTATTCACAAACAAACGCAAGATTGATGGCCAACAGCTAACACTATATGATCGTCCAATGACAAAGGTGAATGAGTTCAAATACCTAGGACTGTGGTTTGATAGCAAATATACATGGAAAATGCATATTAAACAAGTGGAAACAAAATGCAAAAAAGTATTAAATGT